TATACACAAGTCCTGAATATCCATAAAAGTGACAGACTCAACCGCGTTGTTTGTATTACTGAAAACAGAAAGTCGGCGTGGTATTCTTGGTTCTTAACAAGCTTATACTTTGACGGGGTAGGCCATAAATTATTGCCTGAAAACTAATATTTGTGTTCAAAATGTTGGAGGTGGAGCTGTGTGCAGCATAGGTACTTCAAACCTACTAGAGGAGTTGAGGCTGATTTCAAGGATTAATGTTATTATCAACAAAGGCGGTCGTGTTGTGACAAGACACACAGCTCAACAACTCAACAAGATCGTGTTTAAGATGGCACAATAATCAAGACCATATTAAATTTGATTTTTTTCCTTAATTTTAACTCGGATGTTTAATCTGTAAAATCAGTTTATACACTTTCAGGTGCGTGTTTACAATTTCATGTTCTATTCTTTATTTGGAGAATCTGATAAAGCTTTCAAATTACATAATTACTGAAAAATTATCCTGTTGTTTATACTGACATCTTGAGAACGCGTGGTTTTTTTTGCATTACGGTTTTCAAATACGCGGTTTTTCTTTTTTCACTGCTTTCGACATTTGAGGCCATTTAACAAATATTGATGACCTAGCTCGTGCCCCAATAATGTTAGAACGACTGAAGCTAGTCTACTCTACATCCTTCAAATCTCGGCTAATTTTGTGTATTTATCACGAGGGAACTGGGGAGATTAATGTATAGTTCACTGCACTATTCCCCCGAGATGAGCCAAGATGTCAGATTGATCAAGCACCGTAGCCAACAGACCAGCCGACACTTTCTGTCAATGTCAATGATACTGGATGTGTACATGTGCTTGAGACAATTTGTGCCTCTGGGCCAGTCAGCGAAAGGGGAATTAAGTGGAAGAGATGTATATTCCCGAGATGAGCGTATCACGGATCAAGTGTCCACACACTCCCGGGCGTTTCAGCCCAGTGCTTGGACAGTGTAGCCAACCAGCAGATGAGTCAACCAACCAGACGATCGCATGGGCTGCAAGAAATATATTTGTGTGCTGACCATGTACGTGAAAGATGAAGATTCAAGTTTATGAGATATAAGTTAGAGGTTGCAGCACCTCAGTTATAGAAGCTGTTAAGCACACGCACACCCACCCACCCACACAAATTAATTTGAAGTTGTGAATGTTGAAAGAATCCAAAATTCCAAATGGTTAGATTGATGGGCATGGTCTGGGTGCAACTGGATGATGGCTGAAGTAAGTGCGTGAACTCTCAAAAGCATGAGGTTGGAGTTCCTCTAAGAACTTTTGGACTATGGTGATGATTACTGATGACAGACCATTCATCATTTTACCACCACAGCTCCTGGCTTGGTTTTCTCTGAATTCGTCTCCCCAAAGATAGAGACAGGAAAAAGCGAATTCGTCCAAAAGAGTTCCTACCGTTGAAAGGCTGCTTCAGTTTTGCCTAGTCAAAGAACTGACTGAGAATCTATGTGCATTAGAAGAACTTTCCTGACTGTAGTCTTTTCTGAACAACGTTGGTCTGTTTTTTTTCGGTTGGGTTTCTCTTCCTGCACAATAACAAAACCACGCCGAATTGTTAAGATACCTCACCGAAGGCCAACAACTGGTCCTGAACAGAGATTTATTGTAACCTTGGTCGAATTTTGACAGCGGTAAATTCGATTGCGCTTTCGAATTCGCATGACCGTAGAGTAGGTTGATGTGAATAATAACTTCCCTTATGCTACAGAGAGCTAGGCCAAAGTTGAAGCAAGCCGCTGTAACAAACTCAATCCCTTGTCGCTAGTAAAGAAAGGAAGAAACACTGAAATTGTGTCAATATATTTTTTCATTGGCCTAGATTCTGTACTAATAGTAGTGCTGGCGAAATGTGTAAGGTCTGTGTCACGTATTTAGTGCTAGTGCTGATGTTCATGTGCAGCTCACGTGTATAACTTCAGTTTTCTACTCAGTTTAAGCATTGGTTTGTCGTCATGTTACAGGCTCTCCCCATTTGAGAGAAAATGGGAAAAACAATACAAGATTTCGAATATGGAAATGATTTCAGCAGAAAATGCATAAGGTTATACTGAAAGTTTGTCATGCTGAAAAAATATTGTCTGATGTTAGTTAATACAAGGAAGAGCTGGTTTACGTAAGAACATTAAACACATCATGACGTCATAGATGTGGGAACCAAATTTACGTTTTCAGTTTCCCTTGTATAGTCGTCAGGGAAGTGTCGCCTAGTCAATGTAAGACATTAGAAGGACCATGGAGGAATGGAAGGACACAGAAAATTAAAGGCAGTTCGTCGACCAGACAAGGACTTGTGAAATTAATGAATAACGGCTACCCTGAGTGGCAGTTGTGTGCTGTATCAACATTTGTCGATTGTAATTTCTGTCTGGAAGATTGGTTTTGCTAGAATGACTCAGCGTGTTGTTCTTGGTGAACTGAAATAAACTTCTGTTAGTGGAGGTGATACCAAAGTGATATGGCAAAAGCTGTGGTTGGTAATTCTTGTTCATTATGGTATGATAGATGGATATTGTGTAGTTTTTACAAAGGGTTTTATACTTTGCACGCCCAATGATATAGCCAAACACAGTGTCTTTTTGGCGCGTAGAAACTGCAGCTGTGGTCCTGCATGTAGAATTAATCACGTTTATGTGACCTTCAAGTTTGACCTTTATGGGGTCAAGTATTCCCTTTTGCCGTCTAGTCCTCATTGCGATTTCACAAGGGTCAATCTTCTTTCTGCCAAAGAAATAGAGAAGATAAGATGTAAATAACCACGATGCTGATGGGCCTAGCGTTGCGTTATACACATGCGCATGTAATTTAATTTGCAAAATCTTGGTTTTGCTCGCTACCGTGAGCCGTGTGTCAATGACCCCAGATCACCCTTATTATAATTGTTTTTAAATCCAGAAGTAGGGGAGCCAGTCTGTTCGAAGAATTAATTTACTCCCTCTGCTGCTGTGTTGGTCTGGAGAGTAAGCTGCATATTTTGTTCCACAAAGCCTCCTCATGGTTTCCATTATAGCCAAACTTTGAAACTGTGGTTCGGTCAGTCTGCCATGGGCTATAGTTTATTTTTATTTCTCAAGCTAGATTTGGCTGTAACTCTCTAGTTCTCGGGTCCTTCGTGCACTGACTCCAGGCTGAGTCAGACAGGTGTTCTTTAATTACGACTACAAAACTGTGGGCATATGGCGTCGAACAAAAGACGGAGGCGATGGGCAAGTTTGTGTCTTCACTTCTCAATCACGAGTTGAACCCTAATTTACGACGCCCATCCTGGTGAAGAAACATCTGAAAAATCACAGTAAAACCTACCAAATTCATTAGAATATCCGTAATGCATAGGTTCGTTCAAAAGTTGGAGGTGCTGTTTGGAAAAGGTTGCAGGGAAAAGTAATTCAAAGATACAGCTCATGTTTTTTAAGTCTGTTTTAGTGAGGTTTTACTTCAAAGGTAGTGAGCACTTTCGCCCTTCAGGATGGAATTTGCTCAAGTTAGCATCATGTTTAAACAAAAGTGATACTTTGTGGAAGGTGTTTCTTGAATAGGAGTCCAAGACGATCGCTGCCAGTAAGGAATATTCGTGTTCTCAAAGGTTAGTTTGTCAGACATAAACTCAACGAGTATAGAATCGTCATGAGAACGAAACGTTTTGTGTGTGTACGTGTGTGTGTGGCACAGTTACTTTATCGATCAACCGATTCAACATGAGTAGCCGTGTCTACACTCTGCCTGGTAGCAAAAACACCGTGTCGCAGGGAGTCACTCAGGCGCACTGGAAATATCGTTTCTTGGGTAATCATCCGTATGTTGTAGGCAAGGTCTTTCGCGTCGGTAAACCGGTATAAAATACAGTGTTTCTGCCTAGTTATTATCCCAGGCGAACGTTGAACTTCTTCTTTGTTGCTGCAAAAAGTGCTGGTTAATATCGGTTGGCTGTCCACACATTGTCGCGAATTGTGGAGAGTTAAAATGCTTGTTGATGAGTGTTATGATAGTAATTGTTACAAATTGCAAAGATGCGAGTATGCTGCTACTAAGTTTCCATCAGTATTATTAACATGGGAAAATACGTTGAAGACAAGAAATAGGGAGGAAACCCTTTTTACCAAGCAGAAGTTTTGAAAATAATGTGCCCCTAAAATGTATTTTCCTTTGCACTCTTGTAAAATGAGCTACAATAAGCCAGTTCTTGTAACGATTTCATGCAGATGTGATGACATGTTCATGCTTAGTATTCGCTGAAGTCCAAACGAATTCACATTGACAACAAAACTCCCTTTATACAACTAGAATGTAACCATTAGACCTTGTCTGAGCCAGATGCATTTCGATACTAATATGATCTGTGTTTGGGTTCATGTATACCACCTGCCACAAACCTACTTTCTAGCCATCCATCTAGTTTGATCTTTTAGCCTCGTTGCTATTAAGAACCAGCAAAGAGAATAAAATGCCTGATGTTATTTGGAAAGGCGGAATATAGTGTAATGCAGCTTGCGCGTTGATGGTTGAGGCACACTAGACACAAAACACAGTGAGAATCTTGCTGCCAACCTCTAAATTTTGATGTCAGCCACACAAGGCTGCTTTCAAGAATTGAAGAAGGCAACTGGCAAACAAACAGTTCGAAAGTCATTCGTATACAGTTCTACATTTGCAACTAGAAACACCAGCATTTGCCTCTGGACTTTATGTCTGGACTTGAATTTTTTTTAGAGATAAACATAATCACCGTGGTGGATGACAAATACAGTAAAAAGATAATCGATGACTCGCGGTGTCGTGTTGCTAGTAGCGAGGTTTCGGCTGCTGGTGCTAGCCTTCATAACTGTTGCCTGATGAAGGCTAGCAGCACCTAGCAGCACCAGCAGCCGAAACGTCGCTACCAGCAACACGACACCGCGAGTCATCGATTATCTTTTTACTGTATTTGAATTTTTTTTATCTTAATCATTTTTGGTATCTTACTTTTGTTACAGATAATCAATATATGAATGAGCCTTATGAGGCAGTTAGTGAGCAGGCCATTTGGTTTAGAGCCGCCGTAATCGCTGTACCAATCGCAGGAGCTTGTATTCTGATTGGACTTATCATGGTTGCTGCAAGGATGCTTCGCAGTGAGGATAAACAATTCACCAAGCTGAGCGTTAACGTCCGACAGAGGGCGGCATTACGGACTCACAGCGCTCGTAATTCAACCATCCACAGAACGCCACAATTTCTCGAAAACTCTCGTGTGAAGAACATTAACATCACGGGAAACAAGTTGGTGGATCCATTCGTTGGTCGACCGAATAAGATCAACAATATGAACAACATGTCCAAGGTTACCAATGAACTGTTGCATCAACAGCGATGTGTAAATGAGTGTCCACGACTGATATCAACACAGCACTACGAGAAAATGTACAGGGAAAACTTCGACGTTGTATAGCAGTGTAAGAGCGCCCCCACATCCACCAGGAGCTCGATAGTAATCTGTAATTTTACTGTGTATTTTTGTATAACCCGTGTCTATAATGTACAAAGAACAAAATTATGTACAGAAGTGTATTTCATAATTACAGGAATTATCCTAAAAGGTTATCTTTATTGTACAGCTGTTTCAACAATTATGGCTATTATTAATATCGAACATTATTAACTTCAAAAGAGAAGGATAAGCTCTCATTACTGTATTTTGTAGCTGCCAAGCTTTTATGTCCACGAAGTCAAAGGCGTCGGATACCACGACATATTGCATGTACAGTACATGTACATGTATTATTGTATGGACGTAATAAGTTACTTCCTGGTAAAATATTACGTATCATGGTTGGATTTCGAAGTTTATTTTTAGAAAGAATTCATTATTCTTGTAAGTCTACGAGAGATCGTCCTCTTATAACAGCGAAGTACATGTATAAGAAAGCAAGTTGCTAAACTCCTGTATCTCGTACATTCAAATGTTTAAATGAACCGTTTTGATCACTTGTGTCATTTTTCTCTTGCTCCCTATGAATGATAAGAAATCGTTGTAGGTTTAACTATAAGAAGGAGTTGAGTTTGCCTGCAAACCTCTTGGTATTTAAATACAACGGTTCATCGAAAAAAAATTTTAAAAATTGCAATGCATATTTCGAATCTTCCTTTTTTTAACGTGTTGATTAAGTGATTGTTCATAACATGGACAATTTTGGACGAATGTCAAACTTAAGAAGCAAGTCAAGGATTTACTTAATTGTCATTTCTAGTCTCCGGTCACCGTCTGATAACAAGTTGGCGATTTTTACCATCTGAGAGTAACAACCTTAAGGTGTTTATAAAGCTCATGTGAGGATGACATCACAACGTAATGTACTGACGATGACTCACTTGTAGTTTTAATTGACGTGCGTATTCAATGGGAGCTAGGTCGTAATGGACGGGCTCTGAGTTCCACATACCACACTCTGTGTGAAGTCAGCACTTACAGCTTCTGTTGGCCTCTTGGTTATTCTGTCAAGTCAGACATTAATAATTTATCAGTAAAATAGAAATCCTCATTGGGTTATTCTGTCTTTCATTCACACAAATCTTTCTGTGATTTTAAATGCATAGTGAAGAAAGATGTCTCGTTGATAGTGACATCTCTTTGACGATTTTCCTCTTTCTTGTTTTTGAAATCTTCAAAAAACCTTTATTGGTTTCACATAACCATGTTATCCGGCCTTAAATGTATGGCATGTTAGTCTTAAAGCATGTTTAATAGTGCAAAATCATTTGTCAGTTTTCACCAACGAAAAGGTTTTGTGTACGTTAATATAAAGTGTCCATCATTGTCAAAATTTCGAATGTTGCTTGTGCAAGCTCCATTTTGATTAAGTCCTTTAACTTGATAAGTTTTGTTCAAGTAATATTATGACCATTATAAATGGCTTAAAAAGCTAGAAAGGGAGACAATGCCATTGATGTTTAAAGGTGTTCTTTTTGTCTCGACTAATGAATCAAGTGAAAATAAGTGCGATTGGCGAATGATTTTGAGAAAGAATTAAGCGTGGTGGTTGACTTGGTCTCGAAACGTTTCCCAACCTTTGTCATTTGTTTTGAATGTCAGCACTAAAAGGTTTATTATTTAGACGGTTGGTATTTCTGTTATACTGACGAACTATTTGCCATTTATATACAAATAAATCTGGATAAAACTGAATGTCCTTCCCAGGTTGTTTCTGTTCAGGGCCGTTTTAATGATACTTTTTTTTTTACTGTCTGTTTGTTCCGTCAAAACGCATTACGAAGATAATTTCGATTAAAACTTTCCAAGGAGTTAGCTTTGCGAAATATTTATTTTTACCCTTTTCGCCAAGATCCTCGCAAAATATTCGTTTTTAACCAAATCGCCAAGATGTCTAATGTTTCCCCATTACAACAATAAAATACCACAAACGTTTCACAGTCGCTACTGTATCCCTCTTACAGTTGGGACTTTTTAAAACGGGCATTTAGGCTCGAAATATTTTGCTCTTCAAATTTTTACAAGATTCAAATCCTCTTTTTTCTTTACAAAAAGGAAAAAATGCCACAAAATTATTAAAATTACTTCTTCATAACAGTCCGGAATAATTTGGAGAAAGGTAATTTTGTGAGTAAATTAAATAAAATGTGCTAAGGGTAATTCTTGCAAAATCTTTCTCACCTACTTGTCTAAGTTTTGCAAGATTTTTCCATTAATGTCACAAAACAATGCCCCGAAATGATCACGTTTACATCTACATCCCTCTTCGATCTGTAATTTGGTGGAGTTGCATTCTTTGCTGAAATCTTAAGAAACCTTTAAAGAATAAGCCTTGCAAAAATATCTAACCTTCGCGTGTTTTGCAAAATGACCGTGCACCGCAGGCGACAATTAGCTGGTGGTGCGCTCAGCCGAACAGCATGCTGGTAGAGGGCGCTATATTCACAAGAGACGACACTGCCAAAAAACAATGTCTGTGGCCGCTGTACAAAGCCAGTCACATGTATGTCACAGTGGGGCCGGCCGTGTGCGGTGGCACATGTGTAAATAGTAATACTGAGTGGACGGTGGTCGCTTTAACCTGCTTATTGTCGCGACTTCATGTGTCATCAAAAATTCAGTCTTTCAGGAATCGCTGGCACACCTACGTGATGACATTGAGGCCGTAAGTACAATAGATTTTGCCTTTATGATGCCACACTTTACAGGAATAAAAATCATAGGCCTAGTTCTTCAGTTGAGAGTGATGAGACCTGGAGAAAGGAAAAGACCTCCTACCTCCCTGCTAGGATCAACACTACACCACAGCAAATACATTCCCATAGACGGCAGTGATAAATTCCATACTTCACAAATATTTTAAAAATACAACTCTCACTGGTGTTCAGGTTGCACAGAAAAATGATGTTCCACATGTCCTCTTTCATTATCCTTTCAATTTAGTGGGTTGACCAATGAATTTTGGAGAGATTCTCACCCGAAACAGACCACCCCTAAAATGAAGGAAATTTCACTGCCCCGGAAAGTAGCCATTTTGAAAATTCATCCTTCTGCAAAATGGCACAAGTAATGCCACTTTTGGAACCGATTGCATCCAAATTGCTCAGACTTGGAAGCCCTGAGTGTGGCCCAGAGGTCCGGTGTCATATTTCTTCAATTCCCCAGTTCCATGGCTCTCAGGACCGTCTTATATACATGTAGAATACTTTGAGTGTACATGTATAACTTTTATTATTGAAAGTACACATATTTCAAGAATTCTAAAATTGCATGTACTGTTCATGTAAATTTACTGACATGTGCATGAGATGCCTGGCCTTGTAATTTGAGAAGGCCAGGCACTTTGATGCATCATTAACTACCGTAGATGAGAAGGTAAAATCCCAGTCTTTCTTGTCAGCTTGACAAACTTTGGCATATAAATATTTCCAGAAATCTAACACATTGCATGTACACTTTATTTACAAACATAAAAACATACTGTTGTTAGCCTATTAAGCCTGACACAAAAGTCCATGAAAAACTTGGTTCCTGATAAACTGGTAACTTTTGTGTTAAGTTCTTGTCAGTTGCTGTGGAGATCAGTGGATTTTCAAAGATTTAAGACTTGAAATTAGACTTGGACTTTCTGGACTCGGACTCGAACAATGAGAATGCAGCTATCTCCAGGACTTGGCCCAACCCCCCCCCCTTGATTTTTAACGTGCAAGACTGTGGTCAATGTATATGTATGTATGTCTGTGGTGCCTTGGCATGTGCAAAATGGGAAAACAGGACACGACAAGGTTTTGAACCCTCCTTGGTATGTTTGTAAAATGTAAAGGTAGGGTAATTGTCAAAATACAAAAGGATTTGCACAGAATTATGCAAATACATGCTGTTTATGGAATTTTGAAAGTTTCCATGATTGACTTGGTAGTTTACAGTTTAATGAGTTGAAGTTTGTGTGACATGTTACTCATAGCAGACTGCCTGAAGTCATTAAGTCTGTTATGTGTCTGTGTTGGGTCCGATGTCCAGGAGTGAAGCGGATATCGGACCCTTCAGTTCTGGGGGTAGATAAGTGACACAAATTTCACTTTTTTCAATCAAATTTTCCCTTGAGAATGGGAGCAACCGTTAAGCTTGAGGTACCAAGGCTAAAAGAGGTTTTTACACCAAAAATCATAGAGGGTTTCCTCACCATTCATCCATTTTCTGCCCAACGATCGCAACTTACTGTGCATTTTGTGTGCATCACACAGTGTACATGCAGCGACAGCCAAGGGCCAGCACAGCCGAGTCAGCTAGTTCCGCATGTCATTTCGACTATTTTCAGAGGTAGCAGTGTTTAACCTGTCACAGCTAGCACATCACCTTGCTTGATGGTATCCCTCCAGTCACTCAGTTCAGAGGCCACTCATGTGATAATAACAAGATTCCACCCCCTCCTCCATTTATGGACAAACTAAATTGGCCGTTGGCGTGTGCATGTGCACTGAGCATGTGATGCACACAGATTGTTCAGTACAATGTGATTGTTGGGAAGAAAACAGGAGATAGGTGAGTAAACCCTTTAACATTTCAAAATAAGGCTGGTCTTAAATTCCAAAAACCAGCGTTAATTACACAGTTTTCAAGAGCTATACATGTAGGTACCTTAAGGTTGCTCTAACATGAAAATTTGATTGAAAAAGTTGAATTTGCATCACCGGTGATGATACCTAAAAGGCTGGATTCCAAAACAGATAGCATTGCAACCCCATATAAACAAACATGGCCACAAGTCACAGAGATTTGTGACTTTAGAACATCCTGTAGCATACCCCACAGTTCTTGGGGTAAACCTCCTAAACATGGCGAATATCTTTTCTCCATCAATCATGTTCTTATGCTCAGCCTGGGCCTGCCACCTAGCCCAGATTGGACGGCACTTTCGGTCTCTTCAGTTAGGTTTATGTACCTGTATGAGACCTGGGTGGGACCATGAGAGGGCACAATTTTCCTAGCAACGGAGGCTCATTTGGTGGGAACTGCACCACAGGAGACTATGAAGTACACACATCACGGTTGCGTCACTACCAGTAAATCAACTCTCCCCACCAACATGCATGACATGGCTCTTTTTGACCAATGAGGGGGTGCTTTTGCTCAAGGTGGATAGACCTTCATGCACATTTCAGAAAGAATTCCATGATGTATGATGATTTACACTTATCCAGGCTTTTCTTTCCACATCTAAAACTGAATATCTCTTCATTGTCTTCTTCACTCATTATCATCCTGTAATTGGCACTAAATGGGCTGTTGGATGATCAGATAAATAAATTAAATAGATGTAGATGTAACATATGGGTGCCGCTTGACACCCTTTGCACAAATGGACCGTGGAGTTGAAGAAACTTTATGACACTGGTCTGAATTTTCAAGTGTTTTCTAAGTGAATACCAGCAACATTTTCACTGTTAAATTTTGACCTTTTAGGACACTGTTTTATTGCTTTGAAATAGTCCCCTACAGTGACCTATACTAGGTCACTGTAGGGGAATATTAATGGCATCGGTAATAGATTTCTTTCCATACATGTAGGCCTACCGGGTACATCTCGACTAACATCCAGGATATCAAGTAATTGTGCCATTGCATCTTGACTGTTCGTGTTCCTTCTCGTGGCACACTTGAAAAAATCGCCCAAAACCCCAAATAAACATTTGAGAAGTTCTGTAAACTTAATCATTTCTGTTGTTACCTCAATTTACATACACTTAAACAAAAGTTTTTTAGAAACTTGTTGGTAATTTTTGGGCAAGTTCAGAAGTGTCCATTTTGCACTGAAGAAAAAAAAATTGAGAAATTGAGCCAAAATAAAAATTTCATTGGAAAGTTGTAGTGGGTGAGTAAAAGCAGGAGTTTTTAATTAGATTAGTGGGGTTTTGATAAAATTTCACTTACTTTGAAGTAAGTTTGAGTTTAAAATGTTGCTCCGGCAAGGCACTGGAGACAAAAAATCAAACTGTGCCAAATGTAGGGGGCTTCAACGATAGATGAAGGATGTTGCCATGACTACAGTAAAAGATGAAGGGATATATTGTTTTTGTTTTTATTGTAGGAGGAAGTCATTAAGAGAAGACGATGGAGCAAGGCGTGGTCAATGAGTGGGCAGCGTCAGTGGAGAGCACAGAACCTGAGTAAGTTCCTTCCCAGCACCAGGTTATTCGACGACAAGCGGGATTGAGAAAGTGAACTTTATTCCTGTAAGTTTACTCATTTTCCCCTGTACTATTACATGTATCTTAATGCCAACCTTCCCAGATCCTTCAAACTCCACCAGGAGATTTGTGGAAGATTGAGGAAGGTAGAGCCAAAGCCAGCCTCTTTGAATTCAGACGGGACTTGATGTGCCGTATCATTTTGGGGAGGTTTTTTAGGATTTGGAAAAGTTTCCAGGAACCACCGTCTTTCTGTGCTGTTCTTACATCTTGCTGCTTGAATAATTATTACTTTGTCTACACTTTGTCAGCTCTGACAAGTTTGGCCACACGGAAAATGATGAAGATGACTCTGATGTTAGCCATAGCACAGACAGTAAAGGTACATGTAAGTTCTTGTACTTTGTCCTAAGACTCTGTGTAGAAAGGCCCTACTGGTAGCTATCTGAAAAAAAATGAACAATTCTGTACAAAACCTTTGTACTGTGACTTCCTTTGTCTGACAAATTTGATCATTTAATGCAGTTTTCCACTAAGGAAAGATACTGCTTAAAGTTTTTGTTCATTTTTTCAATTTTTATGATGAAGTCATCGCTCTGTTTCCACTGCTGACGTTAACACCTAGAGTCAGTGATGACATCCGTATTTTATCTCCTTTTGTTCTTTTCAAGAAGCAGGCTCAAGAGAGACTCAAGTTCCAGTGAGGACCCATGTGACAGCCACTCTGACAGTGATGAGGAGCAAAAACAGTGGATGGAGAAAACGGCAGGTAGGTAAGCTGTCACTTGCCAGTCATATTTGCCATCTGTGAAGAAATCAATTTTTTTCAGGTAGATTTGGCCCTGTAACTTCCTAACGTCTTAACCCTAAAAGAGCTTGGTAACATTGGATCACGTCACAACCTGCGCAATCCCCCAAGATTTAGGCTTTTCAATGCTGGATTTTTTTTACAAACTTTGTATGCATGACTTTCCTTCTCAATGCAAATATTGAAGTTTTATCTTAATCTGTCTTATGATTTGACAGTCACTTGGAAGTTGAGAATGGCAGCGGAAAATTTACATTGGTTGGTTACTTGGTTGACTCCCCTCAGAAAAAAGGTGCTGTGCAAGAACGGTATGTTGGATTTCACAGAAGTGGTGTCAGAATAACTTATTATGAAAACTCTAGAAGGCTTCTGGAAAATATGCACCCTTGATAATATAGGAAAATATGTTAAAGGGGGTAGATTCCCTAGCCCCTCCCCTCGGCTCTTTAAGGTAAAATTCAGAGGTTCTTCAAGAAATTTCCACTCAGCCAGAGTTTTCACAATTTGTTTAGTTGAGAAAGCAGTTACTGGGTACCTACTGTTGTTTGCACTGGGTGAAGATGGACCTTTTCTGAATCAGCTGGATTAGGCTGACAGAATTACATGTACATAAGTCTGTGGCAGATGACTGAAGCCACTCACTTGTGGCTCTAACTGTCTAGCCTCAGCCACACCCTTTGTAACCCACAACTCTGCTGGGGACATGCTCAGACAAAAGTACATTTATTACAATGCATACAGACTTAACTGCTCCCATTTTGTTACTGTATTTTTACCAGGTGTTAAAGGTGATAGCAGCGTGGTTGGTCCCCTGCCCGTAGGGCTCAACTTCTGGTATCACTGGCCTGATAGAGTAAGGCGATAGCAACGTGGTTGGTCCCCTGCCTGTGGGCTCATCTTCCGGCATCACTGGCCTGATAGAGTAAGGTGATAGCAGCGTGC